TATTCCTTTTTTATTATATAATAAAATAATAATTAAATATTATATGGTGAACAACAATAAGTAAAACTGTTAATTTCTCTTATATCAAGGGATAAATTTATATGCTAAAATTAAATTTTTATTAGTATAAATGTTTTAGTGAGGTAATATATTAAATATTTTACAAGCTAGCCCTAACATGCTCATATTTAATGTTTTAAAAGATGTAGAAAAAAACTTATAATAACTCTATTGTTTTTTAGACTTAAACGTTGATTAAAAGAAGTAAAAATTCCTAATTTTTTAGACTTAGACGTTGATTAATATCATAGATGGAGAGTCTATATTTAGTAAAATTCCAAATTGTAATAAAAAATTTAATTTTTGCTATATTTTAGAATATCTTTAAATTTATTATAAAAAAAAAGAAAAAAAACTATAATGAAAAAAGCAAGTCAGCTATATATCGATTTATTGTACTCCTCAAATCATTCACAATTTGGCTACCAGGAAAGGAAACTCATTGATTAAAATATTATTTTGTCAGTAGTCTTAATGTACAAGAGACTTTAAGACTCCACTTAAATATTATAAAACTTTTATTGAACATTGTACAATTTTCTTGCGTATTATAAACTTTTATTGAATAATGCATCTTATAATATAATATTCTCCAAATAAATATATCCCGTGTTTCACACGAATCACGTATTATATATATCCCGTACATTTTTCTTTATTCATGTATATAATTATAAGTCTGGATAAATAGTATTAAAATTGTGCACCCCGTGCATCGCACGGGCTCTGTACTAGTCTTACTTTAATAATTTATTCATCCACTCACATAATTTTAACTACCCATCACTTCAGATTTTCTCTCTCCTATTTTATATTAAATCAATTTTAATCATTTTATTTTAAATATTATTTTAACATACTCACTAACAATTAATCATACCAACTTTTTCAAAATTAACCAAATCAAACAAAACCAAAATTTTTTACATCCAATCAAAATTTTCATGAATAGCAAGTGAAAAATATATGTGAAATCAAAAAAAGTATTAAAATTGACAGCTGTGGGATTTGAACCCACGCCCTTTCGGACCGAGCCTAAATCTGGCGCCTTAGACCACTCGGCCAAACTATCCTGATGATTGACCATTTTAACTATCAAGTTAATTACCAAATTGGATATTTTGATTCGCAAATTTGACATTTTTCTTTTACAATGCATTAGCTCGTTCAACTCAAACTCATAACTCCAAACAAATTAGAGTAAGGAAACAACCTTCTCAATGGCCCATTTTGAACCCATGGTTAGCTAACAACACATGGCCCAATATAATATTAATTATTATTATCCATCTCATAAAAGATGAGCTTCATGTCATGAGACCCTTAATTTAATTTTCATATAAAAGAGAGAAAATAGAGAAAAACAATCAATAGAAAACCAATGAAAACACTTGAGTAGGTTTATTTTATCATTTGGTAAAAAATCCAATGAGTGCAGTTCTAAGTTGCAGAAATATAACCTTTCAATAAAATCAACGGCAAGTCAGAATATCAATAAGCATTAATTTTGTAGCTCATAGTAGGCCTCTCGGCCCCTTCGCAAAACATCAAGATTTCATCATTCTTGCCATTAAAAATTATCAAAACAAACTAAAATAAAATCTAAATAGTAAATCAAACAAAAATTGCCAATTAGCATAACTAAAAACAATTAATTCATGAAAAAAAAATATAGGAATTGTCGCCCATTTTAACATTCGGAGACAATCAACCGCAATCTTTATTACCAAAAACGGATAATTAAATATCCATAAAATAATAATAAATCAAGATTGTCTCTAAAATTATAGCTAAAGAAGGGGCTAAAAACGTGGATAAATTTCAAAAGGAAAACCCTAATGAGAAACCCGCGAAACACGCACTCAAATCACACGCACATATACATACAGAACGTATGTATGTATATATGTATCGAGCGACTGAGTGTGCGTAAAGTTTAATATGGCGTGGCTATGACTCAAAACGCTTCCATTGTTGCTTTGGAAGGCGATCTTAAGGGCCGCGCTATTAAATCAAGTTTTCTGTATAGCAATATTCAAAAGTTTGAAAAAAAAAAATATAAATAAAATGAAATTTGATGATTAATTAGCTAGAGAAAAGCCCAATCGAGAAAGTTTATGTTCCAGAATTTCTGGGGGAATAATTGAATTTATTTGACGATTAATCAGAAAAACAACCAATTTTTTTTGTTTTTTTTTCAGAGAAAAAATAAACTCGAGGTTTCAACTTTCTGGGGATAAAAATTGAAATTTTTGGGAATGATAAGCTGGAGAAACCCTACTAGCACAATGTGCGGGGATCCAATGGAAGTGTGGGTATATATATGGCTCAATTTAGGTTAGTTGTTACTTTCGGGCTGGGTTTTGGCCTATTTCGATCTCCTATTGTGACATATAGGCCCAATATGTTTGGTTAATGCTGAGTTGGAATTTGAAGGCCCAAAGTTAGAGGAGCAAACGACGGGCATGAATGAATCTCAAAATAAGGTTGAGGAAATGAAATTGAAGTGTGATTTCCTTTACTAATGTGTACTCGTGCGATGTACGAGAATAATATTAAATTAACAATATTATAAATAAACATCGAGTTTGAGTCACTCAATGACGGAAGTGGAAATTACTATTGATCGTATTTAAAAAGAGGAAGAAAAAAAAAATAATTATAAATTAAAGGGGAAGATAAACAATACTTAATAATTATAAATTAAAGATTCGGGGTCTAACAATGTAAAATTATTTTGTATAAGAGAATATAAAAAAATTTGATTACACACCATTTCAAAATTATTATTATACTTTTTTGTATGGTTAGCTTATAATATTTGTAAAAATATTAGTAATTAGACCGATGAAAATTACCTTCGTAAAGTAAATAATAGATTTGTAGTGAATTGGTTTCTATTTTGTTTTATTTTTTCTTTTTAAAGATAATTAATTTCTAGTAGTAATTATGAATTGGTTTCTATTTCATTTTATTTTTTCAAATCTGTATAGATAAGGGATAAGAATTTTTAAACACGTGAGACGTATACAATGGGATTTTGTAATAGAAGAGATAAGCTATGGGCTTTTGTAACTCGTGTAGATTTGTACTAAAAATAGAAAAAAGAAAGACAAATATTTATTGTCAAACAACGGTTTTATAAACTTAAAAAGGGAAAAAAAGAAACAAATCTTTATACAATTAATAAGCCAATTTTTTTGCCTATTGAGATTTGTCCAGCAATTACTATATATAGAATATATTTAATGATTTTGGCGAGAAAAAGTTTCAAAATTTGTAAAAATGTTATTCTTTTTATATAACTAGTACAGAGCCCATGCGATGCACGGGGTACACAATTTTAAGACTATTTATCCAGACTTATAATTATATACATGAATAAAGAAAAATGTACGGAATATATATAGTACGTGACCCGCGAGATATATTTATTTGGAGAATATTATATTATAAAATGCAATATTCAATAAAAGTTTATAATACGCAAGAAATTATACGATGTTCAATAAAAATTTTATAATATTCAAGTGGAGTCTTAAAGTCTCTTGTACATTAAGACTACTGACAAAATAATATTTTAATCAATGAGTTTCATTTCCTTGTAGCCAAATTGTGAATGTGATTTGAGGAGTAGAACAAATCGATATATAGCTGACTTGTTTTTTTCATTGTAGTTTTTTTTT